CTGGCCCAGCGGCGACATCCTCCTTGGCAGTTTGTGGCTGGCTGCCCTCTCCTTCGGACTCTGCCATTTTTGTTGTTCTGTCCCACCAACCCTGACACTCCTGTTTCAGGATATTGCTCTTGGACAAATTGGGCCAAATTGTAGCAGGAAGCAACCACCCCAAAACTAGGTAAACTATACTTCTTTGGTGGATGGAGTTATTGCCCTGATGGACTTGGCCTTGACAATTTCCAATAAAGACTGGTTCTCTCAGGAATATTCCATTAGCTTCCTATCGTTGCTGCAACAAACTGTCACCAGCTTGTGGCTTGAAACCTCTCTCACAAGCCCCATCTTATAACCGTGACCCTCTCAGTTAGCCACCTGTGTTCCAGAGGCTGTGCCCTGCCTCTTCCGGCTCCTTGGAGCACCTTCTACTCCTTGACTACCTTCATTTACCTCCTGCACCAGCATCCGCTCTTCACCCTAATCCCCCTGCTCTGGAAAGGACCCTGTGATCATCCTGAGTTCATGAGCATAACCCAGAAAAAAAAAACCATCCCACATCTGCAAAGTCCCTGTTGCCATGTAAGGTGACGGGCATGGAGGGATTAGAATATGGACATGGTGGGGGTGGCAGGATTGTCCCGTGCACTGTAAGCACATCATGGCTCTGGTAATATCCCATGATACTCCCTTTTCTAACAAACAGAGATCTTTGCCTAGAAATTTAAATAGTTATTTTATACCCAGAATCGATGAATCACCAGTTTATCCTCTTTCCACACAATTACCTAAAAATTAAGCTATTTTATGGGATTTGTGTTTTGTATTTTACATAGGGTTCTGGAGCACGAGAGAGAAGAGGACATCTATGTATTTTGATTCAGGAGCAAGATGTTGGGGGAGTGGAGAAAGGACTTCTGGAGAAACAACAGAGCCATGCAGAGATTCTGACCGTGGGTAGAAACAGTAGCGAAACAGCCTAGAACTCAAAGTGCCCGACTTCTGCTCTTGCAAATGATTAGTTTGTTTGGAAACTAAGTGTTAAGCCATTTGTCCCCACTCTGCGCCACTGTTTGTGAGAGGACTCCTTGCCCAGTCTATCTAACTCTCCACAGGTACGTATTTCTTCACACTTTTCTCTCTCTTCTCTTGGTCTACGTGCAATTTTTATTTTTTCTTTTTAACATTGCACACACACGCAACTATACATCTTAAGTATAAACAGATGCAACTTCCAATTGGATTTTCTTCTCGTAGCTGGGAAAGCACCAAGGTTTTTGTCTTGACCAAACGCCTAGCTATTAACCCCCTCTTTTTTTTTTTTGAAAGTAATTTTATTAAATTATAAAAGTTTCCATTTACGCCCCTCTTCCCAACACCCTCCCACTCCCCCCACTCCCTCTCCTCCTCCCTCTTCGTCCCTAAGAGCAGTCAGGGTTTCCTGCCCTGTGGGAAGTTCAAGTTCCTCCCCGCTCCCTCCAGGTCCAGGAAGGTGAGTATCCAAACAGACTGGATCCCAAAAATCCAGTATATGCAGAGGAAACAAGTCCCAGTGTCATTGTCAATGGCTTTTCAGAAAGACTCCGGGCCAGCCACATTCAGAGAATCTGGTTGGATCACGTCCTCGTTCAGTCCCAGTCCAACTGGCCTTGGTAAATCGACCTTTGGAATCGAATAGAAGACCCGGATATTAACCCACAAACCTATGAACACCTAATTTTTGACAAGGGAGCTAAAGGTATACAATGGAAGAAGGAAAGTATCTTTAACAAATGGTGCTGGCATAACTGGATGTCAACCTGTAGAAGGATGAAAGTAGATCCATATCTATCACCATGCACAAAACTCAGGTCCAAATGGATTAAAGACATCAACATTAATCCGTCCACTTTGAACCTGATAGAAGAGAAAGTGGGAAGTAGTCTACAAGATATAGGCACAGGAGGCCTCTTCCTAAGTAGGACCCCAGTAGCACAGACAATAAGAGAAACAATGAATAAATGGGATCTACTGAAACTGAGAAGCTTCTGTAAAGCAAAGGATACTGTCAGTAAGACAAAAAGGTTGCCTTCTGACTGGGAGAAGATCTTCATTAACCCCCTCTTTGGAGTCGATGGCTTCATTGCCCGAGCAGCCAGAGCAGAGAGGTCCCACCTCCTATGCACCCCCTAGTGGCCACCAGCGGAGAAGCAGCACTGAGCACACTCAATTTACTGAGCCTGGAGGAAAACTTTCCAGAAGGCTCTGCAAGGGTTCTAAACTATAAATCAAGGCCCAGGAACCAGTGCCAGTTTCACACGCCCTCCCATGGGTGCAGCTCCCTCAGGTCGGCAACTGCTCACATCATGCACCGGGCTTTCCCCTGTTCCCCCCTTCAAGCTTTTGCACTGCAGTGTGGTAAATTCCAAGACCGGCAGAAACCACGGGCGGTGCGAACAGATGGGAATCAACGGTTCTACTGTATGTGTATGATAGAACAATATTAGCATGGAGACACAGCGAGCCACAGCTAGGCGCAGAAGCACAACTATCATATATATGATATGTTATGAGACAGTATCTCATCCATCCCAGGCCAGCCTCCAACACGCGATAGCCTGGGATGACCTCCAACTGCAGTTCACCCGCTATAGCGCCCTGGAACTGGGACTGCAGACATGTGCTAGCACCCTGATTCTATGGGGTGTGAGGGATTGAACTCAGATCTTCATGCATGCTAGACAAAGACTTTATCAGCTGAACTACA